TTTTACCCAAGTGACTTTGAGGAATGCAGACCTGGATTCTGGGAGCCAAAGAAGAAAAATGGAAAGACACTGGATTGGCTACCACTGGGAATACTCTGATTGAGAAACTCAAATGAGCTCTTCCTTTTGGACTCCCAGAAATGATTATGGTACACTACAAGGACATTAATTTCTAGAACTTTGGGGTGATAGGAAACAGCCACACTGATTCTAAAATGCATATGGCAGAACACAGGTTCAAGAATAGCTAAAGCAATATGAAAGTCAAAGAACAAGTGCTGAAGATTTGAATTTCCAAACACCAAGACATATAAAGCTATAGCAATTGAGACAGTGTGGTATTTCCACAAAGATGAACAAATAACAACATCCTTTGGAGAAAGGATGATCACTTTTGATGAATGGCAGTGAGTCAGCTGGATGTCTAATGGGAAGAAAGGTGTCTTGACCCCTCCTCACAACATCAATAAAGATGAGTTCCAGAGGAATTGAGATCTAAGTGTGAATAGTGAAATTAAAAGCTTTGAGAAGATAACATAGAACATCTTCATTACCCTAGAGTCCACAAGAATTTCATCCTTTCTCCTTGCAGAGAATGCAGCTTTGTCCCCTTTGTCATAAGCTAATTTTCTGGTCACATGTGGGTCTGTTTCTGAACTTCATTCTTTCCCACTGATCTACTGTTCATCCTCATGGCAATATCACACTCTCTTAACTGCTGTGGTTTTATATGTCTTGGTGTTTGGGAATTCAAATCTTTTCCATAAAAGAAAAAAAATTGAAAATTTGGGCTATGTTAAATAAGAACTTTTGTTCATTAAATGATGCCATTAATGGAAAGTAAAAGTCATCAGAAAGTAGAAGATATGTACAAACCCTAGATCCAACAAGGACTTACATACACATTCATAAAGAATCATGAAAATCAATTAAAAACATAGATAATCGAATAAAAAGTCAACAAAAGGTTTTAACAGATACTTCATAAAAGAGAATATACAAATGCTTAATAAATATATGATAATGTGCATGCTTTCCTTAGCCATCAAAGAAATATACTTTAAAATCACCAGAGATGCCACTATACATCTATCAGAATGACAAAAATAACAGTGGAAATACCAAGTACTGAGGAGAACAGGGAACAACCATAATTCCTGAGATTACTTTTGGATATACAAATCGATTATCAACCACTTTGGAAAACTGTTTGGCAGTATCTATCAGAAATTAACACATGACCCCCTAATTTCTACTCCCATGAGTACAATCAACAGATATGCAAGGATATGTTCACAAAAGACATGTACTAGAGTTTTTATAACCACGCTATTCTTAAGAGCAAAATCACACAAAAAATTCTCTATATGCCCATTATCCAAGAATGGATAAATAAATGATGGAGTATTCACACAGTAGAATATTATAAAGCAATGAAAATGAATGATCTATTCCACATTGTAGATAAACTTTATAATGTTGAGTGAAAGGAGCTAGGTAAAAATCATACTATTGAATGCTTCCATTTGCTGGGGGTTGTGCATGCCTCAGTGGCTTCGGAAGCCGAGGCAGGAGGACAGCGAGTTCAAAGCCAGCCTCAGCAAAAGCAAAGCACTAAGCAACTCAGTAAGACCCTGTCTCTAAATAAAATACAAAATAGGGCTGGGGATGTGGCTCAGTGGTTGAGTGCCCCTGAGTTCAATCCCCGGTACCCCTCCCCAGAAAAAAATGCTTCCATTTATATCAAGTACAACTACAGAATAAAGGTATAACTTATCTACGCTGCTAGAAGTTAGGATAATGGTAGCAGAGAGGAGTTAGGATAATGGTAGCACAGAGTAGGTAGGAATAAGAGAGAAAACCTAGAATGTTGAAACCTTATATTTCTTGATCTGGGTGCTAGTTTTATGAGTGTGGTCAGTTTTATTTTATATATATATATATATATATATATATATATATCACATATATATTTTATATATTAAATATAGGTATATATTTAATACATAAATATATATAAACCATTTTGAGGATGTATATTATACTTCAATATATTTTTTAAAATAAAATACATGTGACATTTTGTAGTCACAACAGTCCAGTAGAGCTATTATTATGTCCACTATGCAGATAAATGGCTCAGAAAAATGAATTCAAGGTCCAGTCCATGGCAGAGCCTTGAAACCCTAGATCATGCTCTGCCACTTCTTAGTTTCTATTTGACCCTTCCCAATAATATTGAGATTTCTCTGTCTTTTCTCTACCTGACATCTTACCCAGAGTGCACATATCTTTCTACTTTACCAGGAAAATTCCCATCAATTTTCAAGGACTAGCTTCATTCCCTTCCTCTGTGAAGCCTTCCCCACAAGCCTTTGTCACCTTTCCCCATCACTAGCTGTTTGCAGTAGTGATCCTAAATTCCAATTGCCTGCAAGGATACAGCAGATATCGTCAATGTGGGAAGCAGCTGAGTGCAATAGAGAGAAGTGAGGACTGTGACAAAATGCAGAAGGGAAACCTGGTCTGGTTTACAGGGAAGATCAGCTCTGCGGTGCCACCCAACTGTGACGACTCAGGGATGCAGTATCCAGAAGCCAGACATCTGGATTTGTACATGAAGTCTTCCTTTTTCATGTTGCTTTTAAAAAATTAAATCAAAAAACATTGTATCAACCAAACACAGCATGTCTCAGGGCCAGATTTAGCTCATGGGTCCCAAATTGGCAACCTCTGCTTACAGCTTGGCAGAGTCAGACCAAGTCCAGCATTAAAAGCTCACCAGCCTTTTCCCTGGGGGGCTGCCCCCTGTCTCCTGGAGCTGTTCTTTAGATATGGCAGGCAGAGGTCACACACTGAACTTCCAAGTTTCCGTTCTTATCTCTACTTATGCCCCCCAAACCTGAGGTATGGGCAAAATATTTCCAATCTCTGAAAGCCATCCCTAGTACCCCCTGATGTACTCAGAAACTATTCTTCATTAGTGAGTTGGTTTCTCAGAGAAAAAAATAAGGCAGCATTTAAAAGAGTACAATCAGCCACACTGGGGCCGCATAACTACATCCTGCTGGCAGTTGTCAACAACCTGGGCTTCCAAGGTCCCAACCCTAAAACCCTGAGGAGGAGCCCTAGGTGGTGAATAGAGCAGGCAAGGAGGGAGAGGCTAACAGAGAACAAAGTATAAATTTGGGACACTGTGTTCCCTCATTTAGAACAAAAGTCCAACTTGAAAATAGCTAGATCCATATGATGAGAAAGGATTGGGAGGGAGATTAGAGAATGGAGGAAAAGACATCTTCTAGAATATTATTAGTGCTTTTCCCTTAGGGATTGCAAAATGGGTAGTTTTCCTTTTTATGAGTTAGCCAGGTACACATCTTATCACCGACTCTATTGTGCTTTGGGAACAATCTAAGTGGAATCTTCTTTTATTAGCAACAAAACTCACATTTCTTTTTTTCTATTCAATTGAACAGACCGGAGATGCCCAAAAAGGTCATCTCCAAAAGTGCTGTTAGGCTGACTCTGTGGAAGTCCAAGTGCATGCTCACACAGAACTAAAGGGATGTTTAAGAATTAGGTTTTCACAAGCAGGTCCAAAAGAACGTAGTTAATTCATCGTGAAACTAAAATATTAACTCGTAACTAAGAGTAGAAAATAACACTGTTCAAAGAATAACTAAGAATAACTAAAGCCGGGTGCAGTTGCTACATGCCTGTAATCCCAGTGACTCGGGAGACTGAAGCAGGAGGATCATGAATTCAAAGCCAGCCTCAGCAACTTAACGAGGCACTCAGCAATTCACAGAGACCCTGTCTCTAAATAAAATACAAAAAGGGGCTAGTAATGTGGCTTCATAGTTAAGTGCCCCTGGTTCAATCCCCAGTACCAAAAAAAAAAAAAAAAAGAATAACTAAGCAAATGAACTGAATAAATCAATGATCATTTATTAAATATTTGCTGTGCAAATTGCAGCTGATTTGGGTTTGGACTTAGATCAGCAGTGGCCTGTAGGGGTGAGAGGAACAGCAGCATGATTAAAGTGGGTGAAGAAGGAACAGGAGGAGACACCGAAGAGCTAAGGGAGACTGGGAAAAGACAAGCGCTATCATGATAGCAGGAAGAGGATTCGGGACAAAGGGGCTCAAGCTAAGGGAGCTCGTTGAGTGTGCTTTTAGGATGCTGGAAAGAAACAAAATAGAGGGAGCAGCAGAAACACAGGTGAAAGAGGCATACTCAATGGGTCTCTGTCCTCATGGCCAAGACAATCAGTTGCACTCTGCCACCTGATCTCTGCCTTCTTCCTTGGTAAGAGAACACTAATTTAATAAAATTACTGATGCACGAACTGTAACACTACATTTCCCCAGCCTCCCTTGCAGCTAGGAGTGGCCTTATAACTACGTTCCTGCCAATAGGTTCAAGCTGAAAATTTAAGTGGGGTATTTAGGGAAATTGTTAACTCATCTAGGAGAAAGCCCTTTTGTCCTTCCTACGATCAAAATATAAACATTGGATGCTAATTCATAATAAGGAGGGGTTAAGGAAGAGAGTTACTTTGGATTAAATAAAGGGGAGTGAAGGGAGGGGAAGGGTATGGGGGTAGGAAGGATAGTAGAATGAATCTGACATTATTACCCTATGTGCATATATGATTACACAATCAGTGTGATTCTACATTATTTATGACCAGAAGAAAGAGAAATTATACTCCATTTATTTATGATATGTCAGAGTGCATTCTACTGTCATGTATAATTAATTAGAACAAATAAAAACCATTTTTAAAAGTATAGAATAAAAAAATACCAATGTTAAAAATGTAATTTTCATACATTATTTGGGGGAAAAAATGAAAAAGTGTAATTGACTCATTAATAAGAGGAAACAAGAAGATGGCAAAGCTGATCCAATTAAAATAAAACAAAACAATAATATCCAAATATTGAAAATCACAATGCTGTTAGATACAAAACATTGAAATCACAATGCTGTTAGATACAAAAGTGGCACATACTCTTCAAGGTTATAAAGCCATCTCTCCCGAGAAAAATTCATTTGCATCTTATCAGTTGTCCTTAGAGTCTAAACCCAAATGGAGAGTAACTAACATGTAGGTCCCTTTCCCAAGAGTGAGTTACCCTTGGGAGTATGTGGATAGTGTTCTAGGATGACATTGGCAGGACATGCAGTCATCCTTTGCTTTATTTCCAAGCTTTGCATACTTCTTCTGAATACCACCTTTCTGTCCTCTGACTGGAACACAAATGAAGTGGCCAGAGCTGCAGTAGCCCTAAGGATGGAATCCTTGAACTAGAATAGTGCGACAGAAGGGGAGAAGGAGCCTGGGTCCCTGATGACCATAGAGCCACCAAAGCAACCTGGTACCACCTACTTCTTGAGTTGTATAAGAGAAACTTCTCTCTTACTTAAGCCACTACAATTTTGGGTTTCTCTTATGTGCAGCCAAGTCTAATCTTCTAATGGAGTGGGAGGAAGACAGAGAAAGAAAGAGAAAAACAACTATTTAAATAATACTGGAAATACTGGAACTACTGTATTCAAGGAGGTTGCCCATAGGCAGGGATTCAGGCAGAGAGACCTCTTAATGAAAGCTTCCAAAGGAGGTATGAATGACTAAGGGGTTTCCGGACCACAGAAAAGTGAAATTCACTGTTCACGCTGGTGGGTAGTGATGGCTTTACTGTTCATGAAGATGAAGCTGAAGAACTAAAGACTACAGAGAAACAGAAGTTGTCTACAACTTTTGTATGATGATACCAAATGGGAAAACAGAATACTTATAAATTAAGTGTTCCAAGAAGCTTAATTATTTTCTTAATATAACCTCTTTGGAATTGCCTGCTATACATCATATATGCCTTATATAGTCTATATTTGTTATAGTGTATATATCTCTATATATCTTATATGTATATATTGCTATCTATTTGATACACTCACAACTACATATTACTTTGCAGGATTGTAGTCCCAACATTTGTCCCACTGTTTTGGGTGATTTAAGAAATCTTCTAGAGTGCTTGTAACTCTCTGTGACTTCTGCCTATGGACTGACAAGTATCTAACCTCCTTCGACTCTAGAAGAGCTGAAAGGTGATCTGATCAACAAGGCTGGTAGGGAGAGAAGCCTCAGAGTCAGAGAGGAGGAGAGAGGTGGAGAAGCAGATCAATGTGTTGGCTAGGAAGTAGGGAAGGAAGCAACTTCTTAGCAGATGGCCTCAATGATCTCTGTGTGAGGCAAGCCATCTGCTGAGAGCCGATGGGCAATGAGAGAGGAAGGCTTGGAAAGTAATGTGCTTTATGAAAGCAGCTCTAGGAGATGGGTTTGGGAATTGACCTTGTAAGATGATAAGCCGAAGGACAGGCCTAAACCTCATTCATGACTCAGCTCCCAAGTGGCACCCTCTTCCTCCCTCCCTATTCCCAGTCTCTGCCCGGGAATGAGGGAGAAAAGATCAAGCAGTTATCTATTAAGCCTTGTCCACTCAGAGTAAATACACTCCAATTGGTAAATAAGATAACATCCAGCAAGGTGTGCAATTTAATTGTATTTGTCTGAGAGCTGAAGTTTTTAGTCACTTGTTTTAAATTTAGGATTAAACTCTATTCCTCGTGCATAGTGGGCACTTAATAAATGTTAAATGATGAGCCAGAGACACGTAATTGAGTGTTTTGTAACTGTCCAAGTTCTGCAGAAGACCTTGTCTGGAAAAATAATCTGTCAAGAAATGAGCCTTAAATAGCAATGAATTTGACCTGTACCCCACCTCTGAGTCGGAGGTCTCCATTGCTGTGGTTTCTTCTCCTCTCTGAAGGCACACCTTCCCTTTTCTTGGCTAATACTTCTTTTTAAGCCAAAAAGAACCAAGGAAAGGAGTCCTGAGTGAAAAAGAACAGAGCATGAATGTTAGAACCTTACATAACAGATATTTTTATATCACAATTTAAACCTAATACCGTTTTCCTTTAGTGGCTATATTTATTTTTGAGAGCACAGTACTTCAAAATAGCATGCTGTGCTAAACTGCTCCTCACTGTCTAGTCTACCCTGGGACTTTCTGATATCATCAAATGATTGGCCATGTTTGTGTGTCTGGCAGTCTCGGTGCTAATGAAGCAAAGCAGTGTCTTTTATAGATACAGTGGGAAGCACCCTTTGCCTCCTTCTGAATTTTAGACACAATCAAATCAAAAAGAAGGCAGGAGGCAGAATCTGGTAGCAACCTCCTAGCCTTGACCACCTCTTCTCATGAATCTAGATCTCAATTTCATGGTAGTTAAGGAAAGTTAAGCTCAGTTTGCCATGAAAGGAAATTAATCAATTCTTTCTGCAGAAAGTAAATGTCTCAGTTACCCAAAGGAAGTTAGTTGAGCCAATATAGTGGAAAACTTCCTCCTCAGGACATGGGCAAAGCAGACCCTGACTGAAAAACAGTTTGGATTTAGAACAGAGATGGCAGACTCAATGAACTTGGTCTGAACTGTCTCCCAAAGCGACCAAACATGAACTTCGCACCCAACTTGTATGATGCCGGCAGCTTTCCCTGACATTACCTTCTGAGCCCTTCTATAAAAGCTTTTGACTCAACAAAGAGAGGCTGCCGTTTTGTCTCTGAGATACAAATGCAGAGTCAGATCATCCTTGCCATCTTCCTACTATGTGCGTGACGCAGACCAACAAATAAAGAAGGGAGCAGAGTTCCATTTTTCAAAGCTGATTACCTCAAGAGAGACCTATGATGAGTCAGGAAGCAGCTGCCCCTTTGCCTCTCATGAAGTTCTGACTTCTTCTGCCTGTAGCCAAATTGAAGAGCTGGAAGTGGAGGTGAGGGGCCTGCCTCTTCTTCAGAAAGGGAAGCGGTATCAATGAATGTGATAGAGCTGGGGGTGTGGCTCTAGGTGGAGCACTTGCCTAGCATGCTGGAGGCTCAGGGTTAGTTCTCCAGCACCAAAATAAGAAGGTGACAGAAAAATACCCATAATGCAAAGACGATCAAACTCACACAGGATGATGAGTACAGAATAGATTAAGGGCAGTGGCAAGGAAAACATAAGGTGCTAAAGTACAATAGCACACTTTAAAAAGAATTCTTGAATCAAAGTGTGAAATATGATATATCAAGAACTATGTAATGTTTTGAACAACCAACAATAAAAAATAAAAAAAAAATAAAAAGAATTCTTTTACAAACCCTGGTCTTTAAAGACACTCACAAACACTAAGCTAAATCCCCAAACTACAGAAGTTTAATGTGACTGACAGGCAATTGAACGAGAATCATTTGGGTGTAGTCCTACTGGCTTCCTCTCTGCTGCCACTGCCAACTCTAGAAGCAGAAGTGAGAAGGGAGGGAGGGGTGGGTGTTAGACTCACAAGAGAGGGATGGCCAAAACCAGGGACCCGGAGCAACCTGGGAGTGGGGTGGGGGACAGAGAGTGTGAGGAGCCTGACACTTATAGGGTGTTACAGAAGCAAAGAAGGCAGAGAGATTAACGATTAACTGTGAGTTATGACTTAGATGCTTGCAGATTTTTAGAGATCTGAAAAAGACTGAAATACCTGTTTAAGCAGTGCTCCTTCAAATAGAAATCCACTCTGAGACTGGAAAGTATATAAATGACCCTCGGGTACTATTCAAAGCAGAGAGACCACCTTATTGCCCATCCTTGAGCAGGTTAAATCATGCAGAATAGAACTGTTCTCTTTGACTATTTAACATACTTTCTTTGCCACTCCAGACCAATCATGTGTCAACTTCTACATAATCCTCCTATTATGACAGAATAATCCTACTTTTATTATGCATTTGAAATCAAGCATTTTTATGCAAGGCTGTTTTCCAAGAATATAGAGAGTGTAAAGCTCTATCACAAGGGCTTAATTTCAGAATTTTTTAAAGCAGTAGTCGAAAGAGATACAGACCACATACCAAATAAACCAGGTGTGCATATGTTCACATTCTCTTAAAAAGGCTGCAGTTAATATGCAGAGATTAATATCATCAAATTCAACACACACACAAAAAAACCACATAAAACAACACAGGATCTTGTAACTTGTCTTCAGGAAACTATTCTGACACAGCACAGAATTTGTTGAAAGGGCTTCATGGCATAGGGGAGTTTTTGAGTGCACCAAGAGGAAGAATCAGAAACTAATTAGCATGTTGTTCCTGTCATATCAGTAGCACTGAGAGAAAGACATAATTCACAAGGTAGATATTGCAGGGAAAGAAAGCATCCATGGAGAAGAAATAAAAGTTCTATTTTCTAAATATTTAGATATCTACTCAGGAAATAGAGGTAGTTTTGAAGGCAGGGATGCACATTCTGTATCTTTTCAGTTCCAGACAGTGTCCACTGTCTATACTTTCTCTGTAAGATAGGTGCTTTTGGAAAAAAAACGTGCACACGCACACACACATACACATGCACATGATAAAGAACAAATACATATTATATGCATATTATGTATAATATGTCCATATGTATGTGTATATAAACAGATGTATTGAAATAACATCTAAAGTATATAATGTGATTTAAAAAAATCTATTCACAGGGTCATACAAACATCTGTTTTAGAATATTTTCATAATTTTTCTCTACCTCCACAAAATTATACATACACACACACACACACACACACACATGGGGTATGTGTGTGTGTGTGTGTGTATATATATATATAATGAAGCCCATCTTTTTTGGTAGGCAGCCCCACCACCTCAGTTTCTTCCAGCCATCTTCCCAGACCCAGGCAACCATTATCTACTATTTCTATTGATTTGTCTCTTTTGGGCATTCCATATAAATAGAATCACACTATGTGGCTTTTGGTTTATAGCTTCTTTTACTTAGCATGTTTTCAAGGTTTATTCACATTGTAGCATGTTTCAGTACTTCTGCTTTGACAAAAATATTTAATTAAATGAATATATCATATTTGATTTATCCATTCATCAGCTGGTAGACATTCGGTTGCCCTACTTTTTGACTATTTATGAATAGTGCTATTATGAATGTTATGAACATTTGTGCACAAGTTCTTGTGTGGGCATGTGTTTTTGTTAAATATTTTTTTAGTTATAGATGGATACAATATCTTTATTTTTATGTGCTGCTGAGGATCGAACCCAGTGCTTCACATATGCAAGGCAAGTGCTGTACCACTGAGCTACAACCCCAGCCCTGGACGTGTTTTTATTTCTCTTGAGTATACACTTACAAATATAATTACTGGGTCATATGGTAACTATATATTTAACATTTTGAGGAATTGCCAGATAGTTTTCCATTGTGGCTGGGCCAGTTTATATTCCCAGGGGGAATGCTTGAGAGTTTTGTTTTTTTCCCAATCTTGCCAACATAATTTGTCTTTTTTGTTATAACCTACAGAGTTTGATGTATATAATGTTATATCTCATTTTGATCTTTATTTGCTTTTCTCTGATGCAAACATGTTGCACATCTCTTTATGTTTATTTTCCACACTATTTATTTATTTCCTTTGGAGGAAAGTTTATTCAAAACCTTTGCCCATGTTAAATATGGTTGTCATTTATCACTGAGTTAGTTACATATGTTTATGTATATTCCAAATACAAGTACCTTGTCAGAGATATTATTTACAAGTATTTTCTTCCATTCTGTAGATCATCCGATGGTGTCCATTAAAGTCCAAAAGTTAATAATGATGCAGTCCAATTTATTTTTTTGTCATTTGTGCTTCTGGGTCTTACCTGAAAAGGTGCAACTTCATGAAAGTTCACAAAGATTGACTTCTATGAGCTTTATAGTTTTAACTCTTACATTTTGATCTATAATCCACATTGAGCCAATTTTTGTGTACAATATGAGAAAGGCAACCAACTTCTACATATTGCATGTGGTTATTCAGATATACCAACACTATTTGTTGAAAAATGCTATTCTTTCTCCCATTGAATTATCTTGGCATGCTTACTCTAAACCAATGGACCATAAATGTGAGACTTAATTTCAGGACTCTCATTAGATTCCACTGATATATCTACATGCCTGAATCACACATTTTTGATTTTTGTAGCTTTGTAGAAAGCTTTGAAATCAGGATGTGAATGCTTTAAATAATGTTTCTTTCCTCAAGCTTAATATTTTTCATCAAATTTGGGAACTTTTCAGTCATTATTTTTTTCAAATATGTCTTTTCTACTTCTTGTTTTCTCTCCTCTAATTCTGTTACTCCAATTATGTACATGTTGGTTCATTTAATGATGTCCCACATTTTTCTGAGAATCTGTTCATTTTCAGATGAACATTACCCAGGAGGGAATCTCAATATTTTCTCTCTCCATTCTTCAGATTGTATAATTTCTATTATTTATCTTCAAGTTTATTTTTTCCTCTTTAAGTTCAAATTTATTGTTAAGGCCCTCTATTGAATTGTTCAATTTGGTAATTATACATTTCAACTCTATAGAATACTTATTTGGTTCTTAATGTGCATAGTTCACACACACACGCACTCGCAATTTCTATCTCTCTGCTGATAGTCTCTATTGGTCATTATATTTCCTTTATTTTTCTAAGCATTGTTCCTGTTCTTTGAACATAGTTATGAGAACTACTTTTAAGATTTTTTTACATCTGATATTTGGACACTGTAATAAAAAGTTTCAATTGCCTTTTTGTTTTCCCGCATATGGGTCACCCTGTTTCTTTGCATATTCTGTGATTTTTGTTGAAAACTAGATAATATATTTAGATACAGCCCCCTTCCCTGGGGCTGCTTGATGTTGTTTACATGCTTATTCAGTGACTTGGCTTCACTATTTTGGGAAAGTCTATTTCCCCACAGTGTGAAGCCTTGAAGTTGCTTTTAAGAGGACATAGTCTTGGACAGCTGCAAGGTCACCCTGAAATGAGAGTGATCTTAGCAGGGCCCTCTTGCCTCTTTCCTTGGTCTCTCTGTTAAGCTCTCTACCTCTGTTGGTATCACACCCAGCTATTAAGCTCCACTAATTGCATGTTTATTGCTCAATGTTAAATTGCTCTATAGTTAAATCCAATTAAATCTAGAACCCTTTGCATGAGAACATTTTGAGGCTAATCTTTGAAGTTTTTTCTAAACCCATGAGGACATCTTCTTAGCCGTTTCTTTCCTAGGTTCTCTTTAGTAAAGCAGCTGGCCTATGGCTTAGTGCATTGCTTTCCTGGGGTTATCAGTCTTGCTTATTATCATAACCTGCAATGTTTTCAAGAGTACCCTTAGGAAAGAACTTCCTCATACTGTTTCAGACAAAGTCAGTTTCTTTGAGAAGAGCTCAGAGTTCTCTGTTCTTAATGACCTACTCTCTTCCTGGGTAAATCCTCTGCACCACTTCTCCAGACCTGAGGGCAAGACTTCTCTCAAAGCGACACCTATGTTTTATATCCCCATGCTGGGCAGGAACCGTAGCCTCTGTTCTTGGGTTGCAACCTTTGTCCTACAAGCAAGGTGGGTCCAGAGTAATTGGGGCCCAGTTACTGACCCATCATATCTAGGATGGAGTTTCTGCTCTAGTAGTGGGGGCTGGGCAAGTAACCACCACCTTATTGGCTATACTCACCTGGAACTTAGCCTCTGTAATGTGGAGCTGAAGGGAATGAGAAATGCTGGAAGTCTGCACTCTGGGAGAGAGAGTTGGGAATGGAGTGACAGGAGGAAGACCCATATTTTTGACTTCACCAATCTGAAGTGGATCTTTCATCACACTGGATTCAGGGCAGGGAGAGGCAGGAAGCAGGTTATACTTTAAGATTCACAGACTCTCACTATTCAAGAGTTAGTTTTTTGTTTTTTTTTCCATTTCTTCATTTGCTATATATCCTCTGGCAATCTTCAGAGACTTTAAATGATCAATTTTTAAATTTTTCTTTTAGTTGTAGATGGACACATTATATTTTATTTATTTATTTTTGTGTGGTGCTGGGGATTGAACTCAGTGTCTCACACATGTGAGGCAAGTGCTCTACCACTGAGCTATGGCCCCAACCCAAATTACTATTTAAAAAAATAATAATAATTTTTACCAGTAACTATTTTTTCTGTCTTGTTTTTTGTTTTTGCTGGGTAGCAGGTCTAAGAAGTTCCTCATAGTACCATTTTGTAACTGGGTCTCTAAAATGTGATATTTTAGCACAGAGGGAAAGCACAGGTCAAGTCAGGTTAGGAGCCAGAGAAAAGAAATAACTTGGACACTAAAAAGAATATGTTGGTCATGGTTACTTACCTCCCAGTGATTTTGTGGTCCAGCTCATTCTGGAGGTAGACCATTTCATGGCTGAACTAGCAGCCAACTGTGGGCAGTGATGGATGACAACCCAGCCCCATTGTGAGGCACGTGATATGACAGCCAGGCCAGTTTCCTGATCAGAGACAAGACAGGAGGTGGGCTCAAGAGAGAAGGTAGAAGAGGAGAGGGAGTTCAGCACCAATAGAAGCAGAGAAGTAGGAGATGAACTGGGAAAATTTAGCTGTTGGGTCCCAGGCTGGTAGCTTTCATCTGTAAAATTCTCATCTGCCTACTTCAAGACTCTGTAAAGCAGTAGTATTGCAGAATCAGATTCTGAAAACTCCCACTAAAAAATGAAAATTCTTGTCACTAAGTCAAAGGTGGAATAAAGACAAGGAAACAATAAAAAAATCTATTGTTCTAAATATAGAAATTCAGTAGAAAAGAAACCCAACTAAGTATTAGCTCAAATTATTTAAAATATTAAAAAATTAGAAAAAATTGTTAGTTTAAATATATTTTGGCATGTCCAAAAAATAGATTTACCATGTGATTATCTTTAATATATCTGTCATATTTTGAGTGAAAAACACATTGCAAATCAATATGCACAGTGTAACTGATTTTAAATGCATAAATGCATAGCAAAAGATCTGGAAGGATAACAGTAAAAACAGCTCCCAGAGCCTTTAGTGTTGATGAGCACTTTATATATATACATATTCCATGTCATCTTAAATGTCTCTATTCTAAAAAATAGCTTAGAATAATCAAAACACATTTTACATATAAATAAAATAATACCCATGTCCAAATCTATACTTTACTTTTAGCAATAAAAAGGTAGACTCTTATGCCTTTTGACTTAAAAATCTGAATTGTTTGAAAATGTTTACAACTTAAACATAGATCATTATTTACTTTGCCTGCAGGAAAAAAAAAATAGACACTTGATACCAAAACTCTAGAAAGTGAGAAAATTGCTGAATTATAATTTTTTTAATGTAGGGTACGAAGAGAATCTTATAAGAATAAAATTAATAAGACTGAATTCAGCAAGCATTTTCCATAGCACTTTTAGGATGCAGGCACCGGGCCAAGCATCAAGGGATACAGAGAAAAAACAATCTGTCCCTGACTTCAGGGTGCTTCTGATTTTGTAGATATTATTTTTTGACTATGCAAAGTTGAATTAGTTATCTTCAATCTCATTTCCTATTACCAGATATTTCCACTACAGGAAAAAATAGAAGTCTCATTTGTAGAGTCATTAAAACTAGATCCAAAAAGATTAAGACTTCTTTTTTTCTTTGCACAGAGGTCTTTGTAATCAGATACATGCCCATTTTGGAAGGATACAATTCATCCTAAGTGACTTTTGGCTTTTAAGAAGAATCTTCCTAACATTAATTTAATTTGCCTTTCAAAAAAAGTAGAAGAAAAACTAATGAGGGACTGGGGTTGTGGCTCAGTGTTAAAGTGATCGCCTGGCACATGTGAGGCACTGTGTTCCATCCTTAGCACCACATAAAGATAAATAAAGGTATTGTGTCCATTCACAACTAAAATATAATTTTTAAAAAACTAATCAAATTGTCATACATATAATGTGATCATGCAAATTAAGTTGGGAGTGGTAATGAGAGGTAACCTAGTCATTAGGGAAATAAAGAAGGAAAAATGAGGAAGCTGAAGTCCATTCAGGTACAGTGGAAACTGCAGTGTGCTTTGGTTTCTCTTATTACCAGGGAGATGGTGCATATTCCGGTAACCAGGCAAAGGATGATGCACTCACACCCCACCCTCCCACGCCCACCTACCTGCCCCATTTATAGGCACAGGACTCATACAGGGGATTTAAGGAGTCTTGAAGTGAAGGAGGAGGCTGAGCACCAGGGGGAAAGTTTGACTCACATTGATAAACTTGTTTAAGGAAATCTGTGAGGTACCATCTGCATATGGAAGGAATAACTAGAAGACACCTGTAAAAAACTGCAAACTTTCACAGTTAAGTTCACAAGGCTTAGATCATCATTTTTCAGATATAAAATTGATACACAAGAAAAGATGCTCAATATCATTAGTTGTCATAAGATACTGTTGTATACAGGCTAAAATTAAATACACTAACACCAGCACGTTAATGAAGATGTAAAGCAACAGGAACTCTCCTGCATTTCTGGTGAGGCTGTGAAATGGCTCAAACATTGAGGAAAATTGTTTTGTAGTTCCTTTAAAGTTCAACATACATCTACCCTGTGATCTAGCAAAACAGAAATAAAATCATATGCCCACAAAATGCTTACGTAATGATATTTATAGTAGTCATAGTTACGATAGCCAACAAGTGGAAACAATCTAAATGTTACCCAAAAGTGAGTGAAGAAGAAAATTATCATATAGTCAAACAATGGAATATCACTTCATGATGAAAATAAATTACTAATACAATCTGCATAAACCTCAAAAATATGATTCCATTTCCTAATTTCTATGGTGATAGAAATCAGCCTGTGGGTGTGGTCGGGAAAAAGGAATGTTGTCATGTTTGGTATGACTACATTATGTCATTTATTAATTAACCATATTATTACTTCCTATAATTCCTAAAATAATTGTTTTGCCTAAAAATGATTTTTAACAGTGTTAAACAGGTGCATTAATTTGTAAATGTTGAGTTTGAAGGTATAAATAAACCTGAAAATTTCAAGGATTGGCAATGGTAAGTTAGTGAAAATTACTCAATGTGAAAGTGATTTGGAGATTATGAATTGGCCTGTCAGATGTTCCAGCCCTGGTGAATTTTTCTTTCATTGACAACGTGGAAAACTGAAGATACTTAACTAAGATCATATTATAAAACTTTTTTTTTTCACTCAATATGTCCCAGAAGTTTTTTCATGAGAGTGCATATAGATCTACTTCCATTTTTTTAACACAGGTGACCTTCAAACACATGACTTCTTCAGTCATTGTACATCTTGTTTACCAGATAATATTCAAATTGGAGACATTCCTCTTTAGGAAACAGTCAAATGATCAATGTTTGTGTGACCAAATCATAAGATTCTCAGGGGTATATTAAATTACCCCAAAACTTAGCATCTAAAACTACAGTTATTTCTCAGTTTCTGATGGTTTGAAAACTGGGAGTAACTCTTCTAGTTCAAGGTTTCTCATGAGGCTGTAGTATGCTAGCATTTAGGACTACAACCTTTGAGGACTTCATGGGGATTATAAGATCTGCTTCCAAGCTCACTTACTGTGATTGTTGAAAAGAGGCATCTGTCCATTTCTACACATACCCCACTCTATGGCTGCTCACCACATGGCTTCTTCAGAGTGAGAAAACTAAGAAAACAAAAAAAAAAAAGAGAGAGAGAGAGTGTGACCCAAAAAGAAGCTGCCTGTTACACTCTACTGGTCACACAAATGGGTCCTAAGAGTGGATTATATAAGGTGTGAACACCAGGAGTCAGGAACCATTGGAGGGTGGTTACCAAATATCCCTAGTACCTAAAACAATGAAAAAGCCCAATAAACACTTGCAATATTGGACTGAACCAACTGGTGTCTGGCAATTCAATCCAAGTGTCATGGCCTATGACGTTGATGAATGGCTAGTTAGATGATCAGATTTAGTTGTTTCAAGTTGTCCAATACCTGAGTTCCGTAGTTGTAGTATCCAAAGAACTGAGGGGAATATAAATATAACTGAACTAGATGCCAGCTTACCAAATGTGACTACAGATACGTGAATGACAAATGGCAATATGTAAGTCAAACAGATGTTCTCTTGCTTAACCACCAATCCTTCATTTAGAATTAGTCTGTTCTCCTACCTGTGAGTGGCTTGAGGCCAGATCTCAGCCTGCCATGGCTCTGGCTGACCTTGTTTAATACTTCTTCCTCCCACTCCTACCCTCCCTCCCGCCCCACCCACCAACTTTTGCTCCCCTCGCTTGTCTTGGCCCTCTTTGCCTTCTCCAGCAGTTCTGTCTCTGGTATGCTGGCTGCAAGAGTGCTACAGTCTCTACTATTTACTTGAGGCTCTTTTCTGCTGTGTTTACTGCCTATTCTCCAGTGCATGTTCTTGTCATACCAGGTGTACTCGCGATCTTCAAACACATGGTATGTTTTCATGTTTCTGAGCTTTGACACAAGCTCTGCCTTCTTCTAGGGATGTCATTCCTGGGTCCTTTTCTGCCTGGCAAGCTCTTTTTCACTTTTCAGATCTCTGCCCAAGTATTATGTCTTCTTATGAAAACTACTCAGACTCTCCAGGACCCACCTTCATCCTGCGGGACACCAGGAAAGTTATTCTCATTTCTGGATTATTTTGGGAATTTGTAGTTGTTTTAATTTTTGAATCATTCTTAATAACCAAAAGTTAATTATGTTTTTTTAAGCAAGGTTAATTTCTACCCCGACACTGCAAACTGTGAACTTCTAGGAGGCAGACCTTACCTCTTAGCAACCTTGATCCCCAAGGTTTTTTTTTTTTTTATAGCTCAGTGCCTGACACCTCAATCTTTACCTCTGCTTTTCAAAGGGTCACCTGCATAACGGCAGCTCCTTAGACCTTCTGGACTCTGATTGTTCTGGTTCTGGCAATAGAATGTGGTGATGAAATGCACAGGTTTTAAAACATGGGGCTATGGGGTTGTTTGGTGTGTGATGCTGAGTGAGTCACCTATCCTCTTTGTGCCAGGCAAATAGGTGACCTAACTTCAGCTTGCTTTAAGGATTATATTGCTCAGGTCTTGGCAGAGAACTGGTTTCACCCTAGATGGTTCAAATGGATTACTTACAGAGGTTTGGGCAAGGGTGAGGGAACAAAGAAAGGTTGGTGAGGTAACCAGAGATTAGCAGGACTAGGAAATCACTATGGTTCATAAGGCTGAAGGACAGAGAGAAGAAATAGTGTTAACCTGAGCCCTGTGAGTCCTGGAATCCTAGAAGAGGGGTGGCCTGCAGAGCACTAGAGCTGAGGATTGGAGTGAAGCCCCAACCTTGGAGGCAATAAGGAAGAAATATCCCATCCCCTCTCTCATTCCATCCTGATTAGCTGCTGATGTTACCCACTGGTTGAACCAAAATGACATCAGGAGGCAAATGAACCCTGGGGAAGTGCAGCCTACAGGGATTGGCTTTCTGGTACCCACAAGAGGGCAGAGACTTCTAGAGAAGAGGTTGTCTTGTGCCAGGGACTAGCTGTCACAAGAATTATATGAGAAAATGTAAGTTGAGTAATTCTTACAGGACCTGGCACATAGTAAGTGCTCAAGAAATAGCTGTGGTTGCTTTGAGCATTATTATAGCTGCAAGGTCAGTGTACTTTCTGGAGATACTTGATATTACCTTAGCACCTTTAAGCAGCAGCAGCCACAGGGATTTGACTGCAAAGTTAGGAAAGCCTTGCTCTGGTAAGGCTCTCTCTGGTCTGTTCAGTCTTGCAGCTGTTTCTCCTGACATCAAGGCCTTAATTATCCTGTCTCTGTTCTCATCAGGCTAAATTAGACTGTTTAACCTATTCACAGGTTTGGAGCAAGAAAAAATGATTCCTAAGCAAAATTCTTTTGGCGAAAAAAAAAAAAACCAAAACTTCCATCTGGACACCACAGATCCTTTTCCATATGGTCAGCTTCAAAGACTTTCCTTTTTCTTTCTTATCTAATGGACCGAGACAAAGTGGCCATGATAATAAAAACTGTCTTGCATTCCAACTGCTGCTACCCCAGCATAAAATGCATGAGTTCATAAGGGCTTGAAAATGTGTTTTAAAATTGTGCACTTTGCCACTGTTCAACACACAGCTGTCTTTCTTTTGCTTTGCTTTAATCCCTGTCACTGGTCCAAGGCATCAGAGGATCAGATGCTCCCTGCCCTCATTACTGCCTCTAATCACTACCATGATTGCCGACACCATTCTCTTCCTTCTCGGTTTTCCTTTTTTCTCCCTTAGGTCTCTTGTCACATTTCCCCTTCTTAGCGTTCAGCTAGAAGGCTGGCCTCTTCATCAACACCGCCAGCCAATCAGTCTGCACCCTTCAAGGAGACAACCTGATTAATCACTGCAAATGAGATAAAATCATTGGTTCCTTGACTCTTCTTGGCTGCTTGTTTGTTGCTGAGTGCCCAGGGTTTGAGGTTTCTGAAGGCTGAATGCGATTATGAACTTCCTCGCACTGTAAATTAGATTGGCAGTTTGGTGGATTGTGTGCTGCAAGCAGAAAGTCAGTGACTTGGATATTGCTTAGAAAAGCAGAGAACCCATCACTGCAGGGCAGGGTCTGAGATGGAAAACTCCTCAACACCTTTGGGTGAGGGCAGTAAGGTGGACAAGATGAAATGCCTAGTCCTGCCAGCAGCAACGGTTCTTGGTAAGCCCCCAAAGGAACATTTCTACCACTTTGTGCTTGGTAAGGAGCTTCCTTAGGTAAAGGACAGGTGGGAACCCTCAGTAGCTTTCCTGGGTAACCTCAATGGACATTTTGGGTCCAACTGATTCACTTTTACAACTGAAACCTTCAGGTCTCTCCCTAGAAACATAAAAAGCTGTCTCCTCTAGGGAGCTGTGAAAGGGGTTAATTTGTACATTGGTACTCTTAAATATTTGTTCTTTGCAACATCTTAAAACTGGTTCTAGTTTTAGAAATCACTGACTCTAAAGCGTAAAATGAAATGATAGTTACCAAAATAAATTACTTCCCTGCATCTGACTGAGATGTTAACTCTGATGAATGGGAAGATAGAGTCCTAAAGTTCCCTTAGGCTTTTTTATTGATTGTGTTTCTCTAATGTAAAATAAAATGAATGCTGAACATTTTTTACTCAATATTGTGCTGGCTCAAAGAGAGACAGAAATATAACCCCAGGATGGGTGATGGTGGGGAGCTGTCTTTAAAGAACTGAAAGTCTCTAGAAACAAAACAAAACAAAATGATTAATGATGGTGATTTAAAATTAGATATAGGCATAGGTTTAGAATCCAAATACTGGCTAAATAACTGAACTTAAATCATGTGACCATTTAAAAAACGTGCATAGGATAACCATTGTTAATGGTACCTAGGGTACATAAATTTTATCATTCTTAATATATTCACTTCAAGGGCTTATAATTTGAGACCTATTTAGCAAACAACAATGTTTATTGTCAAAATTCACTCAAGGTCTAAATTGTATTAAGAACCAGACAGACAGGATTTAAGAGGATTAAGTGCGACTTTCAAAATAAATTCTGAAAAGAACAAAGGAAATGACCTTCATACTGTAACACAATTCCCACGTCACTAAGAGGTCTCCACTTATTCAGCTCATCTAGAAGTGGTTAATGGGACTACTACATCAGTTTTAACAGAACCCAGCTTTTGGAAATCTGATACATTCTATAGTGAATAGCAATTGTTGCTATTTATAAAAAAGGTCATAATTAAGTACATAAACACACATATTAAGGATAACATAGCTAACTAGACTGTCCTACTATATACAAGGACAAAACTAATAATATCCCATATTCAGGCAAGTATTGACTAGTGAATAGGAAACGTCATTCTAGGCAGTGTTACCCTTGTTTTAAAAATGCAGAAATAAGTCAGTCAACTCTCGTCTTCATAACAGCATTTTATCCACTTCCTTCTTCATCCCTAACAGCAAGGGCCCTGTAGTGATATACCAAGACCATTAAAACCAACTTATAATTATTTGCCTTTTCCTCACTGGATAGTAATTACCACAATAATTTAATGAATGCAAAATTCTCAGTAGGAGAGGTACAGAGAGGTAAATAGCAAAGGACCATTCCCTAATGCACCATGAAAATTTCCATCACTCAAAGTGAGGGGGGAAAAAAAAACAGGGCAAGGTGACATGAACCTGTAATCCCAGCAATTCAGGAGGCTGAGGCTGGAGGATTCCAAGTTCAAGACCAGCCTCGGCACTGAGAGAGTCCCTGTCTCAAAAGAAAAAAAAAAAAAGTTGCAGCTCAGTGGTAGAGTGCTCCTGGGTTCAATCCATAGTAAACAAACAAAAATCCAGTCCGACAATTAAGGAATCTGAAGTTTAGCAGCTGGGCATGGTAGTGCATGCCTGTGATCCTACAGACTTGGGAGGCTGAGACTGGAAATGACAAGTTTGAGGACAGTCTCAGCAACTTGGTGAGACCTTGGAAATTTAATATAACCATCCCAAAATAAAAATTAAAAGGATTGGGGATGTAATCAGTGGTGGAGTCCTCTTCAGTCCCTAGTACTGAAAAAAGGAACAAAAAGGTCATCTGCAATTTTCAAAATTAAAGCTACACCTTAACAAAACAGTCTTCCTAAAAATCAGTTTGAAAGTGTTGGTAAGATGAGGACTAATAACAATGTCCATCAACTTAAATGGATAAACTGTGATAAGTTCAAACAATGGAATGCTACTTAGTTATAAAATATACTTAACATAAAAGAATCTCACATTGAGCAAAAGTCAGACAAAAAAGTATATATGATTTCATTTACATTAATTCATTCATATTAATTTGTAGGAAAGGTAATACTCATATATGGTTAGAGAAGTCAGAACAATACTTACATTGGGAGGGGTTAACTGGAAAGGAGCATGAGGAAATTTCCTGCCGAAAATTGGGATGGTGGTTACCAAATCTCATAGGATAAATTTTAAATCTTTCCATTTTTATTGAATGTAAATTATACACCAACTAAAAAATATTATTTACTTACTGGATCCTGAAGTTAAATATAACCCACCACCCATAGAAAGCATCTAATGATTAAAAACCAACAAAGGCCATTCAGAAAGCAGATATGAAGCTTTAATTCACTGTGGGCATTTATCTGACAATTTTTATATTAGATATAAATTGTTTTGTGTCTTTGCACAGATACACTTCCATAAAACAGTGTTCCTAACAAGTACTGTGTACTATACCAAACTTTTTAAAACTAGTTAATGGTATACTACAGATATGAGCCACTGATTAAATATAATTACAGAAATTAAATACATGTTAGAAAGTTAAAATAAATTTAAGGCAGGCTACATATCATGAAAGTTTACATTACTGACTTTAATTCTAGACATCATATCATAGTGACAACCGATTACAACAGCACAGATTTTTAACACCCAATTATTTTCATTTCCACAATGTCAACTCCATACTGTATTTTCATTTCCAAAGTAGACCAGCTTTCAGACTATAGACCAAGCTTCTTATGTAATAAGAATTATTGTCCTGATCATGACCACAGGAAATCAAATTTATTTTACCTGTACCATATAGAGATGAGATATTATTCAGGTTATAATAGCATAGAACTTTTCAGTGGTGGTATTCAAAAGGAATTCAAACAGTAGCTAAAAATGGGTTTTGCTACCATGGTCTATATATTTCATTAAAAGAAATTGTCTCTGTCGAAGCATTTAGAACTAAACAGTATAGCCTTTTCCCCTCCAAAATATTGCCTAAGAAAAAAGGTTCAAGCTGATTAAAACAAAACAGAAAAACACCTCAGAAAACAAACGTTATGTAATGTTCTGAGGTACAATCTTCCTGAGTCTATTTTGAATTGGAACAAATTTTGCAGCCAATATTACACTGATTTATTATCCACAGGCCAGATAGAGTCCTTGAACATCTAGTTCAATCCTACAGAATTCTGAAAGGACTCCTAAATACCCAACTAATTATACAACAGAAAGCTGATCATGTTTTGTATTAAAATCTATGTGAATTTCAAACACAGCCATAGCCTTTTTTTTTTTTTTAACAGTAAGTGATGGAAATATATGCACAGCTGTACACAGATCACCATTAAACACAGGAACAAAATGTCATTTGATGCATATAAAATAAGCTCCCAAAAAGCCAATTTGAATATATTTATTTTAATTCACTTTGATACAGTATTAGAAGGGACTGCATATAATCATGGAGACTGCTGCAAACAACACTCGATGCTACTAAGTGTTCTATGACATCAGGCATGCATGATAGTTACCTTTTAAAAATTTCTCATTTATATATCTTAACACTATCTTAAGCTACAGTATGTTTAAAGCCTTTAGCAATTTTAAACCAAATATTTTAATTGACCTATGTCTAAGTGGGGAAAACCAAAAATTTTCTCCCGTCTCAATACCGGATGGTTATACTAAACATTACTACCCAAATTGGTAATTATTTTATGTATGTCATCCCTAAAATTCCAAAATTATTTATTGCTACTAAGAAGTATGATTTCCTGGCAGCAGTCTACCCACCACACATTAAAGCATGCCAAACCTTTGGGGATTATATAAGAATGTTGTGCTGGTGGCTGCAGATGATAATAATTGAACATATCAGTCTCTTCTCTTTATTCTAGATATCTTTATTTCAAACTAAATACAACTTTTCATTAATACAAACTAAAAAACTTTTAATCAATGCAAGAATATGTAAACCTGAAAACCTTTATCATCTTCCAGTGTGTGGCAAAACAGAAAATATTTCAATTACATTAACGAAATCAGGGGTAGGGAAGGGAGTATAGTTTGTTTTTACACGTTAACAAGTACTCCTTTCATAATAATCACAAAAATTTATAAATTCAGATTGCTTGGTTCATGGTCATTTATGGCTTAGAGTACTGGATCTGAAAACTACTTCAGGCTAAAATAAATTTATGTGAATAATGCATAGATTATATACCTAGAAAATCATGCAATAAATAAATGTTCTCATGTACATTAGAATCTTAGTGAAGAAAGGGATCTACAGGTGTGAACAGTAACATTTCTTCCCTTTTACCAAGAGAATACACCCAAGATCCTTGCTTTGGGTCTATGCAAGATCATATTTGTCAGATGATCCCAGTTTTCTCAGATTGGTAAAAGAAGTCAATATTTCAAGACACCTACTTTAAAAAACTGACTTGCCTCAAGTACAGGTGCTGTGAGGTCTGAGCTAGGCAAACCAGATGCTCATGATCCCGTCACCCTGCTGCAAAGTCAATTTGGAACATGTGACTACCTAGACTGTCGAATGGGTAAATGCTTAGAATGACCCATTGGAAATGTTCATTATGTAAGTATGTTTTTTTTTTTAAAAAAAAATCTATCTGCCCTTTATATTTATTTCAGAATTGCCAGATCCACTGACTATTCCTGATTTTGATATGCCCCTACAACATGAGAATTAAACTGAACTACAATGATTGTAATGTCATCTCTGTACATCCGTGCAAGCTCTTCTGGAAGACTAAGCATTTTGGAGAGGCGCTCATGATCAACAGTCCCAAACTCATTGTTGCCGACAGCATGGCGAATGAGATGGGTTGCTGCATTCTGATCCTCAAACATAGAGGACATCTTGGCTCTCCTTTCAGTTAAAAGGCCATGCATCTGTCCCAGAGTCACCTTGTAGCCACCAACAGCTATTGGCTGTTGGTGATGCATACCAGTTAAGTACTCACCCACAATCCTAACCACATCCTGCCTATGCATAGTCTCCCACAACCCATCAGTAGCCAACACCAGAAATTTATCCTGTGGCCTTAATCGATGATAAGTTACCTCTGGCTCAGCAGTGAGATAGGGAGGTGTGTGATAATTAGGAGGGATAAACTTGGTATATTCATTGTCATTCAACTGGTCTGGGCCAGATTCTATCACTCTCTTTTGAAGGTCAATGCTCCATTTGAACTTTACATCTCCAAAAGCCCTAAAAGGCATCAGCAAGCCAAGCAGCCGATCTTGTTTCACCACACTCTTGGCCTCATTCTTTGGGTGTTCTAATTTCAGCCGCTCAAGTTCTCTTTCATTCTGAGCATTGTGATCATTAGAAAGTGTGACTGCTGACCATGAGCCATCCTCTTCCTGCACACCCAACATCGCTCTGCTATCCCCGGTATTGGCCACGTGAAGGTCAACACCATCCACATGGGCCACACAGGCAGTGGCCCCAGAAAATGCCACCCGAAGCACCAAGTAATTGAGGAAAGAATTAGGATCACCAACTTGAGCCTCCAAAGAGATGTCATTATCGAGTCTCTTGAAAGCATTAATTAAAGCCTCCTTAACATCAATATCAGTTGACTCGCCAGTGTTGAGGTCTATAAGCTCTTGCCAGTAAGTCCTCAAGCTGTTGAAGTACAATTTGGATGCCTCCTTACTGAAGTAATCATTGGGATGCTTGTGCCACTGGAGGATGGGTAGCAGTGCCCGACCACTCTCTACTGCATTTTCAATCTCTAGCAAAGTCTCATGGGGTAATAAGGAGACAGCAATATAATAAAAGAGTCTTTCACTGACTGCCTGTGAACAAGCACAACCTGCATGGCCGTCGAAAACCCCCAAAAGCATCCCTCTGGTTTGCAAGCAGGTTGCTGCACTTCTCCGGTCCTCAATGGGTGCATTTGCAGGTAGTTGATTGCTGTCAAATCCAAGGATGGAACTGACATTTTTGCCATCAAATTCTGGCACTTTGAAACTGTACTCATTGGCCTTAAGGATGCTGTTGACTTGTGGAGGTGTAAGGTAAAATTTCTGTGGTGTGGAAGCATATCTCCTTCCTTGGGTATACTGCCACCAGTTCTCCTTGGGCCTACAAAAGGTAGCATATGCTGGATGGGGTGCGTATCTCAAGCGACTCTGAGAAATGTAGGGTGATGAACAGCAGAGATGTTTGTGATGGCAGTAACATGCAGTGCCATAGATTCTGCTCAGCTCACAATTACGGATGAGAGGAAAAAACAGTTGAGTTGGTGCTGGCATGGCATCAGAGAACAGCGGCAGGCTGGAACTTCTGACTGGGATTCCTAGACAGCAAATTAAGACAGATGTACACAAAGAGAGTTACATTTCAGATTATTTAATCTAGCTTTTCTTTCAAAAAAAAAAATTAGTAAGTGAATCTGTAAGCTAAGCCCTGTGCTAGGAGTTAGTATATTTTATTCACATATCATGTACTATTTCTCCAGGGTGTTTTATGGTAATTAAAACTCCCAATCATTCACGGAGCTAGGACTGAGCTGTATTTGAATTCACTTGTTTCTCTGAATATCTTTATGCAGTAAAAACTGTGCAGAATGTACAAGATTTGGCTGGAGAAAGCTGAGGAGATGAAGGTTACATAACATGCCGCAGCAATCTACCTGGCCAATCACCCTTCTTCCTCTCTATCCTAAAAAGGCTTTGAATCTCCCATTTTGTTCAGACACTTCTTCCATTTAGGACAATCTGTTTCTAGACTTGTGGTCAATTGCTGGCATTGATTACACATGGTTATTACCCCAAAAATGTTAAGATGCTTCCCCAACATATGTATATTTATACACTACTTGTAAATTATATGCACATATCACTGTATTAGTATAATGTTCATTACAACATATACAGAAAGTTTTCTACATAATGAAGTAAGAATAGAAATTCCTATATTTTCTTCTTGTACTTCAGTAGATGGTCTTGCAATGTCTACTTCTCTAGACCACTGTGCCAACTTGGCAAGCTAAGGGACACAGGTCTGCTACCAACTTATCAAATAACCCTGGAAAAGTCAGCTCACCTCTATGGGTCTCACTCTCCTATATTTAAATAAATACTGGGACTAGATGCTAAGGCCTCCTCTAGGATTCATATCTTTTTGGTTGTTGATGTGAATCTTTAAAATCTAATGCAGGTTTTATTTATTCATTGCTGAATTTTGCTGTGCCCTCTGTGATTACAAAAAAGTAAGTATTCTAGTAATTCTAAAATTTTCATAGTAATTTTAATCTCAAGTTTTAGAATTTTCTTGCCTATACTGTTACCTCTTTAGTAGTCACAAAAGAAAGCTACAGAAATATTGTTATCATCTACTATGGATCCAAAGTAGAACCCATCCCTAGAAAGATGTTTTCTTTTACTTTTTTTTTAAAAAAAGATATCTATCTGCCCTAAAAAAGCAACAAAGAACAGTGAAAAGCTAGTCAAAGGTTTAGATTATAAGGGTATGGCATTATAATTGTGATTTTTTTAAAAAAAATTACATGACCCTGAAAATGATTTGCTGGCATTTATCTGGAAATTTTAATGAGTGTGTATCATTATTCCAGATAATATCTCTCTTTTTCCTCAACACATATTTTCCCGGAATTCTTAAGATATTGCTTCAAAGTATTCATTTGAACTATATAGAGACAGATTTCAGAAATACTTTAAGTATAGAAACAAATTCAGTGAACAAAAAGGAATAGGAAACTAAAACCACATAAGTCTTAATATAAACCTTTCTTTCCAAAGTTCGAACCCAAGGAGGAAAAAAATTTTATAGCTATCATACAGAGTGTTAGTAATATTTTAAATCTTTTTACGCACCTTTTTTGAAAGGTAATTTGAGAAATAGTAAGTGGGGAAACAGAGAAAACTAAAAACTGAATAATCACTAATTCTTATTTGCTTTTGTATAGTAAGCACTGAATAAGCCAGCCATATAGAACCTCTTTCACAGTGGTAGAAAGTACAATTATTTTAACTGCACTATTTAAAAAGGGATTTGTTTACAAAAATAAAGACAAGATCAGGTAAAAGAAAGTATGGCTACAATTTGGGAAATGAGAATTCATAGCTAAAATAGCATTCTGAAATGCAGTAATGAAAGGAAATAATTCCAGAACGAGAAGAATCTATCAGGCCTAACCACTTAACAGCACTTCAAATGAATACCTGAAAGTCATCCAAAGGTTAAGTATGAGGAGAGGTGCTCAAATGTTGAGCCACATGACTTTGGCTTCCAGATGTAAACTATATTACTTTTTTAGATTTGCATGCAAAAAACATTAAATCATTTTATGCTGGGTATGAAGATTTTTCTATTATTAAACATATAAAATAAAACACATGAAATCTTAATTGAAACCATTTCCTCATAATGTATGTCTGTATTTATCCTTTCTTTAAAACTTATGATGGGAGTGGGAGGGTAATAAATGCCTAACAGGATTTGATGGCACACTAATCAAGAATTAACAAGTCCAGGAGATCTGTACTCTCCTTGAATTCTTTTGTTTTGGTAGTTTTTTCTGCCTTTATAGTTGACTGCACAATGAATGAAATCTTGTGTTAAAGAGCTCATGATTCATGCAGCAGGTGCTTTGAATAATATTTAAATTCAAGCAATCTACTCAATTACATTTTTTTTTCCTTCAAAGCAAAAGTATTCAAGACTAAAGACAAAAAAGCAGAGAGGGAATTTTTTTCAAATGTATCTTCAGTAATTCAGGGGCTTAGCATATAGGCTGAGATTCAGAGCCCCCAGCTCCTAACATGCCTTTAAAAGGCAAATTCTTCCGGAAGGTGTGATTTAGAAAAACCCTGCTCTGTGATTTAGTATTGTATCATATCAGTAGAAATGATATATTCTCTTTATCAGACCAGATACCTTTAGAAGTCAATAGTCATTCAAATGCTTTGATAAATAATAGTAATCGAGCACTGAAAACCCTTAATATCTTTAAAAATGTCTGTACCTTAACAACAAAAACCCCTATGGAATCAAAAGTTTTGCTGATAAACTTGCTTAATTAACCAAGTAGAAGACTCTTGGATTTGGCAACAAGTACAAAAAGGTCCAGTTGTTGGTAAACTAGAGCAGTGTCAAATTTCCAAGTTATTCCTAAGCACAATTTCACTGAAAAGTTCCCTCCCCATGATCCAGACTCAGCCACAATACAAGCAGCATCTCAGCCGAGGAAGATTTAGCCGATTTTCCAATGACTAATAAGGAAGATGCACTGGCACAAATAGGAAAGACACATCCATTTTTACCTATGTGTTCATCAGAGCCTGTGCCATGAAATTATTCTACATTATCAGTAAACCAACAAACCAAAATAATTAGAAAAAGCTATGCACCTTCACTGGAGCTCTTTAGCCTTACAAACCTTCAGAGGCAAATGAAAAAAGAAATGCTAAGATAGTCAATATTATGTATCGGAACCCCAGTTTATGTAATCTGGTTGCATTAAACACACTGCATAAAAACTCTTTTGTGATTTTTTAGCATTTTCTGGTAATGCCTAGCCATTTCGTAGCTCCTGTATCTTCAATGAATGAAGAAACCAGTTTCCTTCAGAAGACATAAAGCACCTTGCCAGCACTTGTTTGATCAGTTTCCTTTGTCCCTACTTGAAAATCGCACTTATTGAGGCATTAAAGCTATCCTGGTCCAGGATGCCTTTGTCCCTTTTTCCTATCTACCTGATGCCTTAATTCCATGCCAACCCACCTAAAACCATCCACACACAAAATCAGTCACCATCCTTCCTTGGGTACCCAACGCAGGTAGTTAAGTGAATACCTACCAATTCGTCTGGGCCCGGGACACACACACATTCTCCTGTCATCACAACACGGAGCCGACAACATCCACAACCCGCGCGAGCAGCAGCAGCGACAGCAGCACCGGCCCATTGAAAGCAAGGCAGAGATGCTCATTAGAGAAGGCGGCGGCAGGGAGGCGGGAGCGGAGGAGGGGCGAGGTCTGGCTTCAGCCCGGTGAATGGGCTGGGAGGGGGAAAGAGGATAGAGGAGGGAGAAAGGGGTGGAGAGAAGGAGGAAACCAAACAAACAAACCCACCCTGCCAAAGAGGCAGAGTCACAGCCCAAGGCGGTGGGGGCCCAGGCGCGAGCTGAAGCTCGCCTGGGTCCCTCCATGCAGTTCCGGCGCGGAGCCCACCAGCGCGCGGCATCCTCCAGCTGCCTGTCCCGCCCGGCCCACGCGGCGCCTGTTTTAGCAGAGACTACCAGGGGCCACCCTGAGACGGCTGCCTGAGGAGCCAACGAGGCCCACGGGGTGTGTCAGGGGAGACCCTTAGGCAAAGAACGCCCAACCCGCCACAGCCTCTCCAGAGCTCACTCTCTCCTGGGTTCCCACCGCGCCCTGGCGCTGACAGCCGGCGCATGAAACCCTGAGGACTAGAGGCCAGCGCGGCCGGCTAGCGCCCGCAGCAGCTAGCCACACCGCCACGCCTGACCTGCAGCCCCAACGCACCCGCATGCACCTGGCGCTCCGGGGCTCGGTCCGCCCCCGCCCCGATCGCCACCGGCCCGCCCTCCGCACGCCCGCGGCCGTCACTCCACACGAGCGCCGTGCACCCCAGCCCCGACGCCCCCCTCACAACTTTGGACCGTGGAGGAGGATTCCGGACGGAGCGGCTCGGGGCGGGGAGCAAAGAATACGAACCGGGCACAGCAGAAGACTAGCAGTTTTTCCCCGACGAGGAGGCGGCGAAGGCACCACTAGGTGCTCTCTCACGCAATCCGCTCAGCTCCCCGGAGCGCGGCACCTCGCCCCCGGCCGGCCCACTCCGCGCCCCTGCCCCGCCGGGCCACCACCCTGCCCCGCCCTCACGTTCCGGCCGGAGCGCATCCCGCCTCCCTATTGGCTGCGCAGTGGAGAGTGGGCGGGGAGGCGGAGAGCGGGCGGTAGCCATGAGGGCGGGGGCGGAAGAGGAGCGCATTACCCGCTAGCTTTGTGACGTCACGGGGGTCAGACAATCCCTTCCATTCGGCGAGGGCCGCCCATTGGTTGCCCGGACCTGCTCACGTGACCTCGCCTTATAGCTGGTGGAAGGCGGGACTGAGTTGTACGAGGGTCCGCTGTACGCTGGGCTGTGTGGTGGTGATTGTGGGAGGCTGGCCCAGGAAGGAGTTGTTTTCTGGGCGGGCCCAAGCATCATTTGCGCGCGTGGGGTTCGGGGCACGGGCTGCTATCCCACCAGGAAGGCTTCGGCGAATCTGGTACCTCGGCGCGGGCCGCGTGGTGCATAAGGCCCGCCTGATCGCCACGCCGCCCCCCGTATGTGCAGATTTCTCAGCGTAGCCTGCAGGAGCAACTCCTGGCCCAACTCCAGACTAAACCGTTTGAAGTTCATCCCAACCTGCGACGTAGTCTTGAGTGCAGCTCTTGCTGTCATTCATTCAGAATAGAGTTGTAGATTTCAGGACCATTAATTCGGATATTGTCTAATATTGTTTTCCTAGGCAGAGGAAGCTAGTTAAAGAATAGGTCCCAGGCAGAGGAAGCTAGTTAAAGAATAGGAGAAATTTAGATGAAAGAATTATTTTCCTCGTCCAATAGATGTGTGATCACCTTCCCTGAAGGACTTTGAAATCAGTATTGCTTCGTTTGCCCTGACTGGTTACAAGGAAAAGGGATAGACTGTAGTCTGCAAAAGTTGTGAAGAGAACTGAACTTGAGAGTCAGAAGATCCTTTGAGTTATTACCAATGGTGAGATCTGTTTTCCCAACATAAGACAGTTTTCAGCATCTGTGAGAGGAGGTTAGGCCGTGGCTCTGAATGTGGCCAAACTGAAGACATTGAGGGCCCTTCATTTACCTCCATTCACCCATACCCACTCCTTATGGGAAAGTAGCTTCTAAAAGCTTCCTCACTTAGCTCTATCCACACAGATCCCATCTTTACAGGATAATGGCTTCTAAAAGCTTCCTTTGGGATATGGGGGAGATCATTGCACTTATCCTGCCTAGTGTTAAGACAATGAGTCGACCTTGATTTATTATGTATATCTGCTGACAAGCCAATAAAGTTTATGAAGTGCTTTGGACTGAATATAAAAACTATCATGTTAGCATTACTGTGGATTCTTTTAATCCTGAATTACTGGATTTTTATGTAATAAAGGAAAAACTATACCCAAACTAGGTGGTTTTTGTTTGTTTAGCTGGTTGATTGGTTGTTGTTTGGTTGGATTTTTGGTACTAAGGATTGAACCCAAGGGCTTTCAACTACTAAGCCCCACAGCCTTTTTTTATTTTTTATTTTGAGACAAAATAAAATTTGAGACAGGTCTCTAAATTGCTCAGGGCCTCACTAAATTGCTGAAGCTGGTTTTAATCTTGTAATCCTCCTGCCTCAGCCTCCCTAGTGTCTGGGAATACAGGCTTGTCCCACCCACCTGGCCCCAAAATAGTTGGTCTTAACACCTGGGTCTTTCAAACTTCCTCCTCTATTCTCTAAATAAATTAAAGGAGAGTCTTTTTTTGACAAGTCCCAGGGAACTCTTGTGGCTGATCTTGATCTTCTGGCCTTCATCCTAGTTTACATAGGTCCATCTGCCTCACTTCCTCTCCTTTTTTTGCTTTTCAGATGAGCTTCCCATAAATTTTCCTTCATTTTTCTGTTAAGAACCTCATTTGTGAATCTGGTTTTCTCATGTCTCATAGAGGCAGCATAGGATGGTATAGCATTGTAATTATAAACATATCTGGTGAGACTGCCTGAATTCCAGTCCCCCCTTTGCCACCTTACTTTATGGTCTGGGGCAACTTCTGTTGTGCCTTATTGCTATCATAGGAATCTTAAGAATAAAAGTAGAAATAATTCACTGGGCTGTATTGAGTTGCTCTGTATAACTTGCTAAGAAAGGTGGCAAGTACTATATAAGCATTTGCTGTTATTATTAAAGATGTTTCAAGTCAGTGTTATAGATTAAGGGCACCAGGAAAGCAAGAGACCCAGATCCTCAAACGCAATAGATTTTATGGTGAGATGGTATTGTTATTAAGATATTGAGTCTTAGACCCTTAGTCTGTCAATTTAATTTATATGATGAGTGCTACTACCTTTAGTCTCTGCTTTGTAAGTATGGAGATCAAGTCATTGAAGCTAAGAGTGGATTATTAAGAGTTTCTGCCTGTGGACCCAGAAATATTTATAATAGATTTCTCTGATATCTATAAACCAATGGTGGTTGTGAGTCTTCAGAATTTATGCATCCATAGCAAATGTCCTCTTCAAAGTTATGACCTTAGTTGCATATACCCTTATTCCATACTGACATTGTCATTTTTCAGAGCACTTTTTAAATTCCCTGTTCAAATAGTTTTCAGATCTGCACAGGGCACTCCCAACTTGTTTTACTATAGACAGCTCTTTGGTTTTATACCAGAATAGTATTAATTTTCCCATATTATTACTAGTTCTGCATGACTATTTCTGAAGATAATACCCACACTTAAAAAACTGGCATTTGGTGGGGCATGGTGGCACATGCCTGTAATCACAGCTACTGCAGAAGCTAAGTCAAAAGGACTGAAGTTAAGGCCACCTTGGGCAATTTAATAAGATCCTGACTCAAAATAAGATTTTATAAGGGCTGGAATGTAGTTCATTGGTAGAGCACTTGCTTAGCATGCACAAGTCCATGGGTTCAATCCCCAATACCAGGGGAAAAAAAACCCTAATATTTGCCCCCACTAAATATAGTCAAAGAATTTATCATCAGGATTGAATGCCAAGATATTTCTGGAGTCAGAATAAAATCTCCCAAAATGATAGCTCTGAAACAATCTTATATAGACATATAAGTTCTGTTCTCAAGTTGCAAAGTTCTATGATGCAGTAACATGCACATTATGAAGTGCTAGTCCTTCTACAGAGGTGACAACTGCTGGTACACTAGAGCAGTCTTGATTCATCTCTGGCCTGACCTTGGCCTATTTCTAGATGGAGCTCCATTTGGCCATCTAATGGGCTTACTTAAAACGGGTTGTTTGTTATCACATGTCTATCTTGTCAGGGCCAGGGCCAGGGCTCAGGCCTTTCCGTTTGATACTTTGACCTCAGAGATTGTTTAAACCACTAGAACAACCTGTTGATCCTTTAGTGTTTGAAGTTGTTGAAAAGTAGCACAAAAACAACCCAAGATTGTTGTAGAGAAGGGACTGGCAAGGAGAGAGGAAGGGGCTTCAAAAATAGCCTGGTACAAAGAAAGCACTATGCAAAAATGCCTGTTTTGTCTACACAAATACTTTCTGTGATACTAAAAATGTTAAAGTTTTTGAATGTGACCCTTAAAATTTAGTTATTTTATTGACCTACAATAAACTTAGAAATGAGCAAATGCTTGACCAGATTGGCCTGGTGTTCTTGTGGGCAGATGAAAAGACCCTTGGCAGGGGAGGGAGGGGTATTGGAAGTTAGCTTTGACAACATGGAGATGGTCCAGTAGCCTCAGTGGTGCCAGCCAGGAAGCTTAAAATAGATCTGCATGTGGGTCTGAGATGCTGTCAGCCTGATAGTTGCTGACTTATTGTGGTCTTTGCCAAAATCAGCAACCAGAAGGAAGAGAGACTGGTTCACCACACTCTATCTGCTATTTCCTTTACAGGTCTTTGCTAGGAACTAGCAAATAATTACCCAATAGCTAAACAATGGATATCTGCCTTCTTACCATATCAATGTTGAGTTCCTTCTTTGTAATTAACTTACTTGGAGCTATGCAGTGAAATTGACAAATTACCTACACTAAGGAAACAAAATGTATGGGTGGCTCATCTTCAGACCAGAGGCTGTTCTAGGAGCTTTAACATTTGTCTCATTCTGTATTTGAAAAGGACTCGATTTTCATCAAATTTCAAGAGTCAATAGAATGATCAATAGGAAAAATAAGTATATAAAGCTTCATTTTCTTGTAAAATTAGGGACAAGCTGGGCTTGGTGTGATGCACACCTTTAAGCCCAGCAATTTGGGATGTTGAGGCAGGAGGATCACAAATTCAAGGCCAGCTGGAGAAATTTAGGAGAATGTATCTCAAAAAATAAGGACTGGGGATGTAGCTCAGTGGTAAAGTGCACTTGGGTTCAATCCCCAGTACACCCCCACACACACCACCAAAAAAAAAAAAAAAATGGGACAGAAGAAGTCTCCTGGCTATCAGGCAGAACATTTCTCTGCATTCATTGAATGTGTCAAAGAATAAAAAAGCAGGCAACTGAGGTTTCTTATAGAGGTTCAACGGTTTAGGACTGTGTGTCTGTGGGCCTGAGATTGGCACATACAAATCTGCATTTATTTTCAAAAGTAGTATGCCCCCAATAAACCCATCAGAAGTTGAAAATGCATTGAATACATCTAACCTACTGAATATCGTAGCCTACCAACACAACACACTGCAGAGTGTCAGTCATTTCCTGTAGTGACAAAATGGCTGACTAGGAGCTGTGGCTCACTGTCACTTC